ATAAAACTTAAATATTGATTAATATGCTGTATTTTCCAGGTATTTATACATATGCCTTTGTGAATTTTCATAACCAGAAAATGTTTAATGAAGGACAGGAACATGCAATAAATAAAACATTAAAGACAACGTAACAGGAAGGGGCTGACAATTGATTACATTAAGAATAAATCAGCTTGGTAAAGAAACAAAATTAAAAAAAAAAAATTCTGCCATCTGAACAGGTGGGGGGGGGGGGGGGGGGGGTCCTTAGACATAGATAATGTTCACATGAGTTACTTCAGCCCTGCTTTTCTTCAAATTTTATCATGTTTATTAATTTAAATAAAAGATTTTCATATTCCCATGAAAAATTATAACCCCATCTTATGGCCCCACTTTAAGTTCTAAGGGGTCTCTGAATCATTGTGATGGTTCAATATCAATATGACTAACATGGCCTTTCTGTTATGGAGAAGAAAATTCTTCTCCTTTATGCATGCATTATGTAAAATTTGCTCCTGCATGATTTTAGCCAACCCTAAGCTTGGGTCAATAATTTGAAGAAAAAAAATTAAATCCACACAACATGGGAATGTTTGCATATTAATAGTTCTATTGTCTTTCTTAAGATTTTGAAAACTCACATAGTTCCATGTGAAATTCAAATTCCCTATTGTGGCCCCACCCTACCCCCTTGGGCCAGGAGTTGAATAGTTTAGAATCTACTTTAATGTCTGGGAACTTTCACATAAGTTTCATCTTTTCTGATTGAGTGGCTCTTGAGAGGAAGATTTTAAAGGATTTTTCCTACATACTTCAATGTAAAACTTTGATCCCTTATTGTGGCCCACCCTTTCCCGGAGTCCATGATTTGATTTATTTAGAATCTACTTTATGTTTGGAAGCTACTTTTCACATTAAGTTTCATCTTTTCTGGTCCATTGATTCTTGAGTGATTCCTTACCATTTTTTTCTGTATGAAAAAGGACTTGATCCACCTTCCAACATGAAAAAAAAACAATCAATTTACCTTGCTGTATACTTTTCATATTTGGATTGCACAAAAAACACCTTTAAATATGCCATCCAAGACCATCTCTGTTCCAAGTGAGCCAATAAGATTTCCTAGTTGTAGACAATGTTCAGCCATATATTTATATTACATGAGAGACAACATTCCATACACAATCGTATTCTCTAAACTATCTTATTAAGACACCTTGGGTTGCAAGGTGTGCAAGATAATTGCAGAAGCACAGATATGCTCTAATGTTACAGAAATTAATCAGTACAAAACAAGCAAAAGATCTACATAAATAAACAGATTTAGATGTGGTTAAGTCATAAAATGAAAACACAATTCTGTTTAACCTTGCTTACGTCAGCGATGAAGCTCATCTTTTTTCTATTTATTCAGCACAGACCTTTGAAGTTTTGCAAATAATTATACAGAAGCTTGACAAATGAATTGTACAATACCGTTTAGATTTATGAAGTACACAAGGGACCATACATGTTTTTAGATTTGTATACACACTGAGTATGAATAATTAGGCCTAACTAAATACCTTGTCAAGGGTCTATTGATTTTTATTAACTGCCACTAAAGGTTGAGGTGAAATAATTTCTTTTTGAATTGTAAAGAATTTTGCTGTATTAATATGACTATATGATCAATAAGGGGTAATTTAACACTGGTCTTCACTGAGAATTGTCCCCATGCAAAACAATGTTAGTTCAGTGTTTATCTTCAGTTGTCATGAAAAACTTGAAACATTCATATATTTCTGAAATAAGTCACTGGCATTCTTAAATTTAAATATGCCCATATTTGTTTTCTTTTAGTGTGAGATGTAAGATGAGGTAACCAAGCAATGTATGCTAAACCTTGGAAACTGCTTAAGCAAAGTCATGAACACTGTCTAAATATTAATTCGTTCTCAAATAAAAGTACTTAATTGATCCAGGCTATTCAAGTGCATGTGTTCTTAAATATATATATACAGTGTCATCCAATTCCTGATCAATTCCCTCAACTGAAAATTAAAGAAGCACTAAAACCAAAAATGAAAAAATAAAAAAAATACAAATAACTTTCACATAAAATGACTTACTCTATGTGCTGTCTCAGAGGACTATCTCCCTATTCAGTAAAAAATATCCACCATCATTAATCCTTAATGATCTTATACAAAGATATCAAAAGATAATTAAAACAATATAACTCCAGCCAAATCTCTGAGAATGGCACAGTCCCTAGTTGAGAGGTGGGAGTTTCAGGCAGTTTAACTCAGACTTTCTTTCTGTTATTACTACTTCAGACCTTTTTTGCAGTCAAAAGTAAAATGGGTGAATTCAAAAAAAATGACCACCAAACTGAATTTTTTTGGCAAAATTCAACTACTTATAACATATTTTTCACTTATATCATCATATTGCAAATGCATTCTAGTTTGAAATCCTGAAGTGGCAATGAAATAGACAATTGGATTAAAAAGTTTCAGAATTTTTATTAGTAAAATTTCTTTTGAAAAAAGAAAATATCATTACACCTTGAAAGACTTTCTAAAATACATAATCACAAGAAATTATAGTTTTTTATGCTTCAAAATGGTAAAAGGGGTATAAATGATTAAATCTATACCTTGAATGAGTATCTTCTCTTGTACATGTGACAAAAAATTGGCTTTTTGATTGTTATTTTACATTATTTTTTCAATTCTGGTTTGAAAAGTTTTAATATGAAAAAAATATGAAGCAATAAAATTCCCCAAAGTTCACTTTTTTGTCTGTTCAAGTCAATTCTTGAAATCTAGGCCAAAAAAGAATTGTTATATACGAGTTCTCTTACAAAAAATACTAGATTTTGATGTGACCCTATGTTACATTATTGTGTTGCACTCCTGACATCTGATATGTATTTTATTTAACATTGTTTTAAAAATTATAACACACAATAACCCATTCTTACTTTGTAAATCAATTTGTCGTGTTGATATTTTTCATCGTTTACAGGAGGTTTTTCATATTTTGAAGACCTTAAAACATGATTATTTGCAAAGTGTAATATATATAAATTATATTTAAAATATATGTGAAATGATGAAAAATATTCCCTGAATTGACTGTAAATTTTCTGTAATTTGTTGATAGACATAGTGTTTTGAACATCAAATAGTATCAAGCATTTTTTTTCAACTTATTTTTTAGTAAAGATAGTTAAAAAGCATCGGTAATTATGAACCAGTTTTGTTGCACTCCTGACAGCAGTAAAGTTTAAAATTAAAACCATAGAACACAAAAATTCATAAAGTGTTGGCAACATCAAGTGGTAATGCAATTGTGCAATACTTATAGTCCAATACTTCATAATTAAACAGATGAAAGTATTTAAAATTCACATTTTATCTGGAATTATACCCTATTTTATGCCAAAAAACTAGCTTAAATGTATATTTAGAAGATAAAATATATTTTAAAGCATATTTTCCTTTAGAAGACAAACACAGTAACCCACCAGAAAAATTCTACTCATCATTTTTTCTTTATTTTTATTCTTATTGGATGATTTATAATTCTAACATATTTGTTGCACTCCTGACCAAAAGCATTGGTGCCTTTAAAGTACAATTGTGAAGTGAAAATTACATAAGAACTTGTTCTGTTGTTTCAGTGAAGTTGAGGAGGAATTACTTGAATTTCATGACAATGTTTTAGTGTGTTTATTTTTAACGTTCATTAAAAAAATCGCAAAAAAGATAAAAACACATCTGAATTGATAAAATTGAAAAAGGAAGGATTTTAATAATAAAACTGTCAATAATTTAGCATTAAATTATACAAAAAGATCATTATTAATTAATGAATACTTCTAAGCATGAATAGAAGTCTTTTCTTCACACAACTTGAATCTTTAAAAAAATGTGTTGCACTCCTGACCATAGAAATGAGGATCTGAAGCACAGACAGATCCTGTAATTGATAAATCTATTTGGTAAAAATGTTCTTAGTGTCTTTATTTTCCAATATAAAAATCAGAAAATCATATAATGATAATAGTTTTTTCATGCTTGGGAGCAAAACATCAAATGTTGCACTCCTGACATTTTTGGGTATGCACATATACTTGACTCTCATTAATGCTGCTTGTGATTTATATAACATTTTTAAGTTTTAAAATGTATATCAGTTATTATTTTACACTTCCAAAATTCTTTTTTGTCTTAATTTTCTATGAGAATTTTACAATTGATGTTTTTTTGGCAACACTACATTTTTTCTGTTGCACTCCTGACATGGTATAACATTTTTTTAAACATCAGTCACGACCACAACTTGAGAAAACAAAAGTTATGACAGTCCACATTTAAAGCTCAATACTTTGAATATTATCAGGAAAGTCTTTATTTTCAACATGAAGCATTATTTTTTATTTCACAGATCTCCAAAAAATATTGAAATTTCAAAATGTCACAAAAAGGTGTTGCACTCCTGACAATTTTAGCATCATTTTTGGGCATAACTTTTTTATTAATTGAGATATCAACGAGATATTTGGCAGGTATTTAGACACTATCTAAAGACATATGCTGAGACATAGAAATCTATTTTCATTGCATGTATTTTTAGTGTGGGTTGATAAATATGCGTTTGGTCATTTTTTTTGAATTCACCCAAATCCTTATGGGGAACATACTGACAAGCTACAACTTTTTGTGGATGAATTCACTTTCTCAGACGTATATAGCTTGTCAGAGCTATTAGTGCAATGGTTAACCAGACCTATCTAGACACAGTAAACCTCAAACTATCATATATATATATACTTCCTGACTTAATTCATTCATGTCCTTAACACACACTAGATGTAGGTATAAAAATAAAAAGGACAGTCATTGCCAATCATTTGTAACATCATACAGCAACCATTCATCCATCCAAGCAAACTCATAACTTCTCCATGTATCATTTTTCCTTCACTTAAACTTACTTTTTACATGAAGACATTGTGTACTTACCCCATTCAATATAAATCAGATGCTTTTGGTTGTAACAGTGCTGAATATATATTTTTGACACAATCTAAACAAGTTTCTTATTTTATGACTTTGTCTTTTCAATCAAAGTTGTCAACAGAGCTGATCTGCTATAGAAATCTGAAAAAGACAACCAAAAAAATTAACTTTATTGACAACTTTTTACAGTAAATGTATGAGGAGGTCTACCATTGCATTTTTTACATGCATTGTCATATGTACGTCACACTTTTCAAGTAGATAATGATTACCTTCAATGATTCACTTAATGTCATAACTTACAAACTTACACATGACAAACATTATAATGATCAGTAGGTGGAAACTAAAAGTCTTTATGAAAATAATGCAGCAAATAATGATTACATAAGGGGATTTATGGTGATGCAATGGTGCATGAACTCTACATAGAATCCATATGTTGATTTTTACTGGAATTTGTTTGGCTGTAAATCCTATTTTTTTTTTTAACAGTAAACACATATGGCTCAAATAAACTTAAAACATATGGTAAATCACATAAAAAAAACATAATGAAAATATATATAGAAACATTTTTGATCACATACTGAAAGATTATAATATACATTTAACTATACAGTTGAACTTCAAATGGTATCTCACACCACACATATTCAATCAACATCTGGAATACCACAGATATTCAATCAACATCTAGAATACCACACATATTCAATGCGAGTTGGAAGTCCCTACTTCTTTCTTTACAAATGTGTTTTAACTTTAGTTAACATCTCGAATTCTCTAATATCTGCTTTTTTCTAGGCCCTAATGAGTTTGAGATAACAAGGTTTGACTGTACATGATTTCATGTAAACTGAATATTATTAAGGATATATATATATATTAACTGCATTCCATCCAAACCCAGATTTATTCCCTTTTCCCATTTATTAGGCCATCTGCAGTGATTTATGAATTTTCACTGAACTTGATATTACTAGAATTTTTACTACAGCTGTCCACTTCAGATTCTGATAGAAGGAGAAGGTTATAAACAAAACATGATCCTTTCCAACTTAACTACCTAGCCAATTCCATGACATTTAACGTACACAATAGGAAAGTGGCCATTGGATCAAATTAGTTGATAAGCAAGACTATGCTGAGAAGCTATTTCTAACAAAGATTAATAGAGAACACATATTTATATTAGTGTATACTCTGATCTATCCCAGGCATCAGGACTGATTATTTAGTACTCGGACCAATTAAAATTCAATATTGGACCAATCAGAATGAGAGATGTCGACCTCAAAATAATTATCTAAATTTTAAATCACTTCCCTCCCCCAAAAATTGCATACATATATATATGTATATATACAAGCATAGCAAACATCATAAAGACAGAATCTAGTCATAGACATGGCCCAATCTCTTAGCTCTTCCCTTGTCTGGTTAACTTTTTCAGTGTGGGCAAAGTCCAATAATGGGGTTATTGGACTCATTTCCATTCTATTGATTAGATTTTAAGTAAATTAATGATACTCCATCAGGACTAGATTGCATCACAGTTTTTCATAATGTCAGATAGGCCATTGTCTCCTCGGAATCTTCTATGGAGTTCATGCATGGAATCACCAGAGAATTACTGCAGGCTATCCCAGCAGTCCCTCTAGACTTTTTTAAGTCAAATACACTTTTATTTTGCGATTTCCTCACTTCTCTTTTGCATTTTTTTGTGATAGGCAATTTGATTGGGACATTAGAGAATTGGGATTGAGCTCCATTAGTTAGTGGGTTTTTTCTTAATATTCCCATTCTGCTTGATTTGGCTATCTACTGGTGTGAAACTTGTTTTCCATTGCCTGATATCCTGGAGAAATGCATTTTGGAAGAATTCATAGATCTATATATAAAGTGGAGGGATAAATATATGGAGATATTAGGTCACTAGAATTGAAATAATCATTACACACACATGGTGAGAGGAAGAACTTGTTATACATGCTAGCTAAATACCATCTTTGGTTACTGCAAATAAACTTAACTTTCTCTATTCTTCATACCACATACATAGCATGTAGATCAGATAAGAGATATAAATGATGACTTAAATTATCACACAATATATTATATACAAGACTTCACATTCAATGACAAAAATTGTAAGTCAAGATAACACGGGCAATTTTCTTTTATAATGATTGTCTATATATGTATACATTCGTGATCTGTTCCATCATCTTTGAGATAATTTAATAATACTGATGCTATCCTAACTCATCTTTCTGCCCACATAAAAAAAAATCAATCTCTAAGAAAAAAACATAAACTTTTATACACCCACACTATACTGAAGTCTCTAGTCCATTCAAGGATTAAAATTCTATCTCCTAAATCTTTTAGGAAATAATCCCCCCCCCCTCTCCCCTTGATTCTGAACTCTACTGAATACAGCAATACATTTACAAATGCACAGTTCACACAGAGCTTACAGAGTAAATGTTCTCTTCATGGGATCCTGAAGCATTGGACATTTACGACTCACTACAACATTTACCTGGTAGCAACAAGAACTATACAAGAATCGAAACCATGGTTTTTAGCCTCAAACTGTGCTGTACGTTGCATACATCATTGTACTTGTTTCTAAATGAAGACCATACCTGGGCTATGAACCTCACAAACTGTGAATAAAATTATTTTATTTGCCATGATTTGGACTGAAGCTCATGATATTATCTTCCATTCTATTTACTACATTCAAAATGAAAAGATGTCCCCATGCACCCCCTAATTTTTCAGCTTGCAAGAAAGTATATGATTTTTTTATTGTAATATAGAAGGGAAAATACCTATTCAACATAATCATATTCATCAATGGTTTGTATTAATTTAGTAAACCAATGCTTTATAACATCATATAAATATAAACTAATAAAAACATCAGCGTTTCTGATTAACTTTGAAATCTAATTAAGGGTCATGACCCCTTGATGTGAACTTTTGGGAGTCAGTGAATTTTAGAGGGTCAAAATGCATTCTGGTTTGCTTCCAGTTGTAAGTTATACTAGCTTTATTTCCTTACATCATAATTTAATGTTTTAACAAATGAAAGTTAAAATATAATTGTATTTTTTGTTCTTTTATTTACATATTTTACTGACTCCATCGTTTGGGTTTCTTAGAGGATATGTCACTCAAGAGGCAATACAAGCACCAAAGTTCAAATGTTTTGCAAAATTATTCATTTATTTAATCATTTGAGCTTTGCTAACCTTTTTATTACCATCTTCAGCCTTTTTGACAAAGCCAAACTGAATTAAATATATATGGATGTGATTTTTTTTTAATTTAGACTTCCTATTTTGTTAAGAATTGGACAGATTGCTTGGAAATTTTAGTAGATTGTCGACATTGATATGTTGGTCTCTGTCCTTAATTCCAATCAATGCCACTAGGAAATTAAATCATCAATTTATTCTTAGAGACTTTGAATGTAGGTTGATGAACTGGTTCCATCCAGGCAACAACAATGAACCCATTTTTAAATTTTGTTTTTGTATTTTTTTTCTGCACAATGATGACCCTTTGGGTGATGTTTTACATGTTTTTGGGGGTAATAAGTATTTTTTACGGGTAAATTACACAGAGAATTGTGTTAGGCTCTATGAAAACACATAAGCTTTCCCCCTTCCTTTTTCAATTTTAAGAGCTCGAGGGCTTTTAAGGGCAACCGTTGCACATGATGATGGTGAATTTATTCATACCATCATCAAACAAATCTCAAACAAACAAGTACTCGTGCAAATACATTCAACCCCTCAATCAAACCCATCACCATACCTGGCTGGCATTTCTATTTTCTTGGAGAAGAGAAATTGGATATTCTCATTTAATTTACTATGGCAACTGTACATCAAAATCAGAAAAAAAAGCAATAATGAAATCAACTGATGAGAAATCAATAGGCATGTTGAAACAAACCAAAGAGCCTGTAATTCTGTACTTCAAACGACAACACAACACAAACTTGTTGCTGTGGCCTGCAGTACATACAAAAGATAATATATCTCATTATGAGGTTCTTCTGACGTTTTGCTCAGTTGCACAACAAACCTTGGTGATTAGAGGTTGGAAATCTGAATAGATGTTCCTCTATATCCAGAGTAGTAGTCACGAATCAAAAAGAGTCATATTTACATAAATTACCTCTTTTGAATTTTTTAAAATATTTTCATTATGTATACTGACAGATGTGGCACATGTGGGGTGAGCAATGTGGTCTTAGATAAACGTTGATCGAAGAAACATGGCGACCCTCTAAGTCTGAAAAACTGAACAACTTAGCTTACCCCAAAAACTGTAAACGTCATTAACAGGTGGTGTTAACATAAGTTCTAAACGATTCACACTTAATTTTTTACTTCAAACTTCACTAACATCCCTGCCCTGTCCCTGTAAATGTCCAACTATCTCATTGCGCAAGAGTACACAGTCTTCTTGGATAATTTCCTTGTTTAGTCATAAAACATTTTGCAATGGAAACAACAATGTTCAAATATAGCTGACACAGCAAGTGTTATTCAAGATATACAACCATATGTATTGATCACTATTTTTTTTTTCTCTCGATTAGGCCCAAGTATGCCACACGTTCACCACACTGAGAATATTGCCCATGGATGCCAACAATAGCTATACTGGTTTCCACGATATTATTCACTAGCAAGGTTTCATTAGTGCTTGATTACAAATAGTGAGAGACAGGGTGCTAAAAAGAAAACTGGCCGCAATGAATAGTATCGTCAAATAATCAATGAACCTTATAGAACAGGGGCCAAAATATTTAATTTCCTGTCATTGGAATTTTCCAGTCATTCATTTAATACTAAAAATAGATTGATAAGGGTACACGCATCTATTTATTGCTCATGTTTGATTTTTTGGGGGATAGTTTATAAAAAAGGTCACTAACACATAGTAAAAAAAATTCCTTAAATACCTTTTAAGAATATTTTTCAATGTTTCAAAAGAGAATTTTTCTTTTTTTAATGTTTGCATTAAAAAAAGGATTTATAAATTACATCTAGTTCTAGCTTCTCAGTTTTCACATTAGGTCTAGAAAATAAAAAAAAAATAAATAAAACATG